AAACATACTCTTCAAACAATGTTATCTATAGATGTCACCGTTCTTTACACAAGGCCTCTTAGTAGAAAGATTTAAAATGCAACAGGTAATGAAAGAGCCACTATTATATCACATGACCTTTCTGCAAAGGAAGTTGCTAGTATTCTTTTAAATTTTATTTTTATTTTATTATTTTGTATTTTATTTTATGTGTAGTGGGTATATTGCCTGTACCTGTGTTAGTGCACTCATGTTGTTCAATGCCCACAGAGGTCAGAGGAAGGCATTGGATTCCCCTGCAACTGGTGTTACCAATTGTTGCTAGCCAGCATGTGGGTGCTGGGACTTGAACCCTGGTCCTCTGCAAGAACAGCTAGTACTCTAAACTGCTGAGTCATCTCTCCAGCCCCAAATTGCTAGTATTCTTAAAGAGCTAGCACTCGTGAAGAAGGTAATGGGTGCTTGGAAAAAAAGGCTTCCATCAAATTCAAAATCTGCTTAATCAAATTTAGTTTCACTGACTATCAGCTGAAATGGGAATGTTTCATTTACTTCTTACCAGGAATTTTCAAGTTAAATAAACAGAAAAAAAGAAAGAGAGATGATGGCAAAACTACTCAATTATCCATCAGTATCAATTAGACCATTCTTTTCTACGTTACATGTGAAAGGGTCCATGAAATTTAAATACAAACAAAATACCCCAAGAAAATGTTATTTTTATATTTGTTCTTGCTTTTCATGATATAAAACCTAAAGTTCAATTCAACTAGAAAGCAATCAAATAAGCTAATGCTTGTTATGGTCAAATGACGGCCTTTGTTAAATGTGATGTTACAATTTTTTTAAAAAAGCTAACCGGAGCCGGGCATGGTGGCTAATCCCAGCATTTGGGAGGCTGAGGCAGGCGTATCTCTGTGAGTTCAATGAGGCCAGCCTGGTCTACATAGTGAGTTCTAGGACAGCTGGCGCTACAGGGAGACCCTGTCTCAAAAAGACAGAAAAAAAAAAAAAAAGCTAAACAGGGGCGGGGGGCCTGGAGAGACAGCTCAGTGGTTAAGAACATTGGCTGTTCTTGCAGAAGACCCATGTTCAAATCCCGGCACCCACATGGCAGCTAACAACTGTCTTTAACTCTAGTTCCAGGGGATTTGACAGCCTCTTCTGTCCTCCATCGGCATTGTATGACATGGGGCACTTACCTACATTCAGGCAATACACTCATACACATAAAATAAAAATAATAAAATATATATATAAAAAAGCTAAATGGGATAAAAGATTCAGCATTTCATAGCTAGTTGTCTTCCAAGTTGAGACAGGAAAAGAGGGAGGGAGAGGGGGAGGGAGGGAAGGAGAGAAAGGCCCAATTAAAAAGCAAAGTAAATTCCTCTAGGATATTAAGCTCTTATCATATTTCTGATCATAATATATGAAACAATATAATTACAACACAAACCTGATCATTTGAGAAGATCCTGTAAGATATGTATACTCTTTGAGGTGCTATTTAAGAATCAGTATTTTTAGAAATATAAGAATTGAGATTTTTTTTTTTCCTGGTCTTTTTGAGATACCACAGCTGGCCTAGGACTCGATTTGGAGACCAGGCTGACCTCAATCTCACAGGGATCCACCCGAGTGCTGGGATTAAAGCTGTGCACCACCATGCCCGGCTAAGAATTAGGATTCTTAATCAAGAGAACCAGAGAGTCAGGAAGACACAAAGGTAAATATTAAGATCAACAGCTAGTAACTGCCAAGAACAGGACTTCACATATAGTAAGGGAGCCAGGAAAAAGTTTTAAACAAACATGGAATGCATTTTCATTCTTCATTATATTACATTTTAAAGTAGGAGAGAAACTATTTTTTAAAATTTCATATGAATGAAAAAAAATTTCATATGAAAAGATAATTTGTAAAGACATAAGCCAGAGATAAACTACCCTTCACTCTAAGACAACAGCTCAGGAGCATGTTTAATGGAAATTAGTATAGAATTTGAATGAAGACCCCAGCCAAGATATTCCACATACACATCACAAAGAGGAATGGAAACTGGATTGTTCACTCAATGCTAGGGGATGATCTGGCTCAACTGTATGTCTTAATAGGAGTCTCCTGCTCCTTTTTCCTTTAAGAATCCGTTCCCTGGCACCATCGAATTAAGTTCCATGGAAATCATACTTCTGAATATTGTACACTGATATTCCTTAAATCTTACTCTTACTTCAATTTTACAAAATTTGTGCTTCAGTGCGCAAAACAATCTTGCAGTTATTAGCTATAAAGTCAATTAAAAGCATCACCATCTTTATCCCCACAGCAAGGTGGTAATTAAATACTTTTTTATATACTTTATTGTTTTATTGCATTTTTATTTGCTATTTTATAAAAGTAGACATTGTAAAAAAAAAAGATGAAACTTATCAGTCATGTCAAAAGCTGCAGATTTTTAGCATCAAGTGGATTAAGTGGTTACTGGGTCATAACAGGAAAAAAAATTTCAAGAATATGCATGATGGATGAGTTATGATTAGGGATCTTACATCTGGGAAACCCCCATGATGGAAATTCTCCTTCTAATATGCAAATTTGCTGCTCAACTCACACATCTTCAACTTCTGTAAGTGTCTTCAGGTCGATATATACATAATGAAAGAGGACTGAGCTTCCTTCAGTGACCAAAGATTCCTCATTTGCTGAACTGATTTTGTTATACTACTGGATTATTTATTCATATCAAACATTAACTGGCCGTCTCTGTGTGCCAGACATACGCTGGATTCTGAGCACTACAAAGACAGGTAAGAGAGACAGCTAATCTCAGAGGCTGACGCTGACATCAGGGCCTGCAGTGGCCCCTCATGTGGGCATGGGATTTTACTGTACACAGACACACCAAGGACTGGGGCAAAGATGTGGGTGTCCCAAAGCAGAGCTAAGACTCAACCTAAATCTCCTAACATCTAGATCAATGTCCTTTCTTTTGATCGTTGTTGCTTTCACAGTATGGGACTTTAAAATGGAGGAGGCACTTTAGACATTGCACCACCTCAATGGGAACAGAACAGGACTTTTTAGGCAGGTTGCCTTGGCTGTGATCTCCCAAATCTTAAGGCTCATTCTTTCTTCCTTCTTTCTTTCAAATATTTTATTTTTATTTTATGTGTATGAGTGTATTGCCTGCATGTATGTAAATGCACCTGTGTCATGCAATGCCCGAGGAGGTCATAGGAGGGCACTGAATTCCCTGGAACAGGAGTTATGGACAGTTGTTAGCCACCATGTGGGTGCTGGGAATCAAACCTGGGTCCTCTGCAAGAGAAGTCACTGCTCTTAACCACTGAGCCATCTCTCCAGTCACAGGCTTATTCTTTTCATTGGGCAAAAGGGTTTAACACTTCACCTTACGAGAGTGTGTTCAATTCTACTAAGTGGTGCAGGAACTGGCGCATTCCTACATCAGTTCGACTGACTCTGACTCTGCCCCTCTAGGCCCTCTTCTGTGCTCCTGCCTTTTCCATCCACTCCATGATCTTCCTCCTGATCTCCTTGTCTTTAGGCTTTACAAAGCAACGCCTGGCTCTTTCTTCTTTCTTCCTTATCCTTAAAATTGACCTTTTGCTTTTCTTTCTGACCCTGTGTAAAGCTTTCCTTTCCTTTTTGATGAATTTAACCTGAAAGGGAAAAACATGTTTAACTGGCAGCTTTATGAGATAATAAAATAGAAAGTTTCATTTTCTATACCTAAGAATGATGTATAATATGACTTATTCAGGTTCAAAGTGAAGAACTTAAAGTAAATACAATACAAACAACAGCAGATTTATAGAACTGTTACCAAAGTACAGTAAGGACCTGCCTAATTTTATAGTTAGGATTATTGCTATATACAATCAGAAGCTCCAATCAAATTGTACCAATGCATTATTGTGGGGGTTATTCACCTTTATGATGACTTTTGAGTTAACATTTAAAAGTCAGCAAACACTGAATTAAGCCTTAATATATAGAGCAGGTAACTCATGAGTTATCTCACATGGAAAAATATTTTTTTAAAGAAACGTGCTTGGGCCGGGTGTGGTGGCACACGCCTTTAATCCCAGCACTCGGGAGGCAGAGGCAGGCGGATCTCTGTGAGTTCAAGGCCAGCCTGGTCTACATAGTTCAGGACAGCTGGGGCTACAGGGAGACCCTGTCTCAAAAATACCAAAACAAAACAAAAAAAACCTGCTTGATTTTTATTTATTGAATTTCTTCTATTCATCCAATAGTTTGATGGTATTTACATCTCCTCCCTCTATCCACACCTCCCTCCCTCTGCCCCCACCCAATTTAATGCACTCTCATATATATATATGTATATCTATATACATATATATGTATGTATATATATATATTTAACATGACCTATAGAATCTTGATTTATGCTCCCAAATGTCCTTCAGTGTAGGTTCATCCACTGGGCCCAGCAAGAGTCCCATCCCTGTAAGATACTGTCTTTCCCCCTCCCAGCAGCCTCCAATTTCCAAAAATGCCTTAGGTTGGTTGGGATTTCTTACCCACTTCCCCATGTTTATGCTGAGATTTTGTCTGGTTTGAGTTTACACAGGACTTGTGCATGCTAAAAAAAAAAAAAAAAATTCCAACCACAAAGGGTTATAGATACCATTGTTGTACTAAATACTGATGTGTTTCTTTATGAGAACTCATCCTTTATTAGTACTGAAAAAATTCCACTATCTCGGTTTACTACAGGCTTGTTTACTCATTCGCCCATTGAAGGAAAACTAGGATCCTTCCAAGTTTTGGTAATTATGAGTAAAACTTTTATAAACAAACAAAACGCTGCTTGATTCCTTCTATAGAAATATCTGAAGACACAGACCTCCTAACCTAAATATGCTATTTTGATCAGTCAAATAGGTATTCATAGATCTGTCACAGATAATTCTCAAGGAACTTGAAAGATCTGCTTAGTCAAGATGAGGATATTTATGTGCCAGTCTGCTCACCTTGCCATCAAAGCGCTTTATTATATATTGATCCAGGCCCAAGTCTGAAAACAGAAAAGAAAAAAATTAGCCTCTGATCCTAACTCACTAAAATACATGACAGCTCTCAGTTTTGTTTTAAATCATTCAATCAAACATACCAGATGGCCTAGCCACAACATTTCTTCAAAGGCCACCCAGGGATGAGTATGCTGCTCCACTTCTAGTCAAAAAGGGGAAAGTGTATGAGTGTGTTGTCTGCATGTATGTAAGTGCACCCATGTCATGCAATGCCCACGAAGGTCAGAAGAGGGCATCAGATCCCCTAGAACTGAAGTTACAGATGGTTGTTAGCTGCCATGTGGGTGCTAGGAATTGAACCTGAGTCCTCTGCAAGAGCAATCAGTGCTCTTTAACCTGTGAGCTATTGCTCTAGCCCCACAACTCTTCATTTTATGTATCAGAATAGAAAGGTTCTGAGCAGGTGAAAGTTGTAAATGCAAAGCTATTCAGCAGTAGAGCCCAAATAACTGTGATTCTTCCACAACATCACCTCTAATTAACACGAAGGGCATTAATCCTCATGTAACTGTTCTTGTTATCAAGCTAAAGAGTTCAGTATCAAAGGAACTTTTGTAACCTAAATAGACAAAACAGGACATTTTAATATTTACTTTAAAAAGTTTAGTTAACTGACAGTTACCTGGGAATACCTAACTTTGAACTCTGAGTTCTGTGAAAGACATAAGTAAGACATAAGTGGCAATAAGTAAGACATAAGTGGCAATGAGGACAGACTTTTTGTCTTCACACATAGCTTTACTTATAGCACTTTGAACAGCGGCTGATATAGTACCCTGCCTTAAAGAATCACAATTTTGTTAGCGAGCTGGGGGTGCTGTTAGGTATTAGAGTACTTGCCTATTATGCACAAGGCCCTGGGTTTTAGCTTCCACACCACAAAAAGACACAATTTTGTTAAAAAGGCATACAGCTACAATAATTGATATGACAGAGGAGCACACCTCAATGAGAGGTAGGAGTTTTAAGAGTGGAGAAGTCAGAAATTAGCTCTCGATTATACTCAATTTGCTCCCACAATTACTCAGTTTTCTTTGCATTCTCACTGTATTCACACTGGCTGGGGCATAAACACGGTGCTCACAGCATGAGAAGCAGCTTCGTTTTACATTTCTGTCTCTTTTTTTGGGGGGGTGTCTTTTTGATACAGGGTCTCCCTGTAGCTCCAGCTGGCCTGGAACGCACTATGTAGACCAGGCTGGCCTGGAATTCAAAGAGATCACCTGCCTCTGCTGGGCTAAAGGCATGTGTGTGCCACCACGCCTATGTTTTACATTTCTGTCTCTACACATTTGATTACATTTTCTCATGATCTGAAACAAACAAAAGCAAACAGGAAAGAGGAAGACAATTTAAAAACAATTCTAATTTGAAACTTCAAAGAATTTAAGATTGCATTATTCAAAAGGACAGAACAAATTTCTGTGATAAAAGAACAGGAAACTGGTCTAGCTGCTAGGCACACTGGCTGCTCTTGCAGAAGACCTGGATTCAGTTTCCAGCACCTTCATGGTAGCTAGCAACTGTCTGTAACCCCAGTTCCAGGGGATCTGAGGCCCTCTTCTGGCCTCCAGAGGCATTGCATGCACATGGTGCACTTACACACATACAGGCAAAACACTGAAACACATAAAATAAAAATAGTAAGTTAAAACAAACAAAACCAGAAGCCAGGCATGGTGATATACAACTGTAATCTCTGCACTCTGGAGATGGAAGCAGGAGGATCAGGAGCTCAGGCTCACCCTCAGCTACACAGCTGGTTCAAGGCCAGTTTGGGCTACATGAGACTCTCTCTCAAAAACAGACAAAAATCTCAAACAAGACTAACCAACCAACAAACAAAAAGAACAGAGAACAAAAGAGAACTACAGATAATTAAAACTTTGCCTGTTTCCCCTCATTTTTCAATTTACCATCAAAAGCTGCAGATAAGACAGATTTTCATATTATTATATTATTATACAAAAAACAGGAAGGCAAAAAGAAAATGGAAGAGAGAAAACTAGAGAAAAACAAACTTAATCTAAAAGGATTAGCATTATCTCATAGGACCTTTCTCTATTCATAAACAGGGAAATGCAAAAAGCCTTAAGCAACTTTTTCCGCCATCTTGGCGCCGGTGGAGGCCTGCTGGGAACAGGACTTCTAAAAGGCAAATATGTCTGGAAGGCTGTGGTGCAAGGCCACTTTTGCTGGCTACAAGCGAGGTCTTCGGAACCAAAGAGAGCATACAGCTCTTCTTAAAATTGAAGGTGTTTATGCCCGAGATGAAACTGAATTCTACTTAGGCAAGTGATGCGCTTACGTGTATAAAGCAAAAAACAACACAGTGACTCCTGGTGGCAAACCAAATAAAACCAGAGTAATCTGGGGAAAGGTAACCCGGGCCCATGGAAACAGTGGCATGGTTCGTGCCAAATTCCGAAGCAATCTTCCTGCACAGGCCATTGGACACAGAATCCGGGTGATGCTGTACCCCTCACGGATTTAAATTAATGGGACGTAAATAAAAGTGGATTTGCGCTCAAAAAAAAAAAAAAAAAAAAAAAAAGCCTTAAGCAAAATCTTTCTCAGAACTAAAAAGAGACACAAACTGAAAGACCTTACCAAAGTGTTTTCAGCAAGATGAACACAGTGTATGCTGATGAATTTCATAACACCAAGGATAAGAAACTTCTAGAAGGGTCTAAGAAATAAAATTTCCTTGTCCTTTAAAAAGGAAGCAGCACTGAGGAGAATCAGACCTCTTGGGTCATCACCAAAGAGAGACATGTGCTTGCTAACTGAAGTAGCAGTGTCCCACAGACACATAATGGGAGTACTGTGCAACTTACAAACTTAACAGCTACTGCTACAAAGATAAAGGGGCAGGTGAAATGAATTTTAGAAATCTAGTTTTGTACCCTAACTAAAATAGTATCATTTCAAGAGGTAATCATGAGAAAATATCTATGCCTCATATTAGATGATATGGGCATATTTATATATAAAATCCATAAATATTTATGAAAACTTATTTTCTGTAACTATAAATGAGTTGCTACTATCTCAGTTTTACAAACAAGGAAATTAAGACTTGGAGGTATTAGCAATATAAGACCTACTTCTTGCCATTCATCTTTATACAATCTTGTCTACTACTTACCAATCTCCTTTGATGGCTATGCTGCCCTCCCTAAAACAGTCATACTTCTTAGAATTCTCCACATGGACCCTAACTCTTGTGACTCATACCATCTGCCTCAGCAACTGTTACAGATTTAAGACATCTAAAACACAGGCCCCTACAGGACAACCTAAAAAAAAAAAAAAAGATGAAAACATCTAACTGCTGAAAAAGCAAAGACAAAGAAAAAAACTTTGAAGCAACCCGTTCAAGTGCTGGAAGGAAAAATGAAGCAAACCCTCCAATCCTGAAGTTTTTTTAATTAAAAAAAATTTTTAAATTATTTTAAATTACATATGTGGAGGGTATGTGCATGTGATGCCTGCAGAGGCCAGAAGTGCCAGATCCTCCAGGAGCTGGAATTACAGACAGTTCAGAGCTATCAGTGTGGTTGCTGGGAATTGAACTTGGGTCCTCTGGAACAGCTCTTAACTGTTGAGCCATCTCTCTAGCCCTGAATTCCTTTTTAGGTGAAAATATCCTTTAAGAACGAAGACAAAATAAAGCATTCTAAGATGAAGGAAAGCAGTGAGCGAATCAATCTCTAGGACACCTGGTCTAAGAGATGCTCTGTTCTTCAGGGTAGAAAAAAGAACAGCAGGAACCTGGAACTTAAAGACTAAAAGAGCCACAGAATTGTTTCTCTCTCTCTCATATACTATTTTCCCTTCTTAAATTCTTATATAAACAGTTTTAGGTGGAATTTTCATTACATACATAGAGATGATACTACAGCATACAGTGGAGAGGGGCTTACAGCAGTCTGCAGTCTAAGTCCATTGAAGTGATAAAAGGAAATACTCAATAGGCTATGAAAAGTGTATATTTTATCATCTCCATGACAACCATAAAAAATAAAGATATTCAAAAATGCATTCAAGACACAAAAAGATGACTTAACGTAAAATAAAGCAAAAATATTCAAATAATCCCCCAAACAGGCAGGGAAATACAGGGGGAACATTACAGTGAGGGGAGGTTGTCAAATAAAATAGTAGCCTTAAATCTGGGCATTTGCACTTACATAAATCTCTTAAAAAGGACAAAACCAATGTGCCCAGATGCTAGTCTATGCCTGCGCCCTCTTTCAAAACATTATGCCTTCCTAATTTGAAGTCTCTATCTTTGGTCACGTGCTTACACAACCGAAACAGTTTGAACCTAAGCCATCGTAGCATTAAGATAACCAGTTCACTGAGAAGCCGGCATCACACATCAGTGACTATGCCACCTCGCTGAAGAGTGAAATCTAGTCCAAGCTGAGGCAGTTTCACTGTGGAGAGAAATGATGGCAAACATGCTCAGCAAGTTTAACCATTTCAGCTTTTCTGCAAAAGCCAAACCATTAAAGTGGATTGTCACAGGCAGCCAGTTAATAAATTCAGAATGTACAAATTCTGACTGATACACTTCGAACCCTTTCCTAATCACAGGAAGCTGATTTTCTGTGGCTCACATGAGATAAATTTCTTATAGACTATAAAATTACAATATTTCAAATTTTATAAAATAAACATACAGAAGTGTTTAAGCTTGTCTGTCCTTTAGACCAGAGTCTGAATAAAATTCTAGCTCACCTTCTATAAAAGCTTTTACAGTCTATGATTGTGTATTTCTTGGCCTTTATTAAATGTTAATCTTTGTATAATCAAAGATGGCTCTGTTTCAGATTTTAGCAATATCTCATACATATTTAACTTTGGGTGTAGGTTTGATACTTTGAATTGGTATGCAAAGTTCATGAAAATTAGGATACTAAAGGTGGGTGTAGAGGCATGGGTTTGTAATCTCACATCTGAGGAGGTGGAGACAGGCCTGGGGCTCACTGTCCAGTCAGCCTAAGCTACTCAGCAAGCTCTAGGTTAATAAAAGATCCTGTCTCAAAAAGCAAGGCAGATGGTACAAGGCTGACTTTTGACTTTCACAGAAACAATAACAACTTTGCTCTGAGGCCTGTCTGCGTTACAGAATGAGGCCCTACCAAACAGAACATAACAGCCTGCTGGTGTCTTTTTTTTTTTT